TACTCTATGAATATTATAATTGATATGTCTCAATTGGTTGAAATTTGGTAAATTTTGGTTAAATTTGAGTGAAAATTGGACCAAAGAAGTTCAAATGCTTGGTGCACATTGCAGTGTTACATAACAACCCCTGTTTAAATGCAATAGGTGTCAATGTTGAGGGAGCAGGTACATTGATAATATGCTTAGCATCATTTTTTACTGGACTAAGGAAATAAATTCTAAGTGACTATAGGTCATATAAGAAAATTTTTTATATTAGCCGGCAATATGTGATATTAATTAATGTTTTTAACACTCGAAAATTTGTGATTTTGAGTAATGTTTTTAACCCTTAAAAGAGTGTTAAGCTCATGTTAATGCAAAAACGTAAATGCGGCATGTAAGTGTTATCCTTGACAAGTTAAAACAACAAATTAATTAGAGATTTAGTTAATTACAATACAGATGAATTGGTGCATCATCGTTTTCCAATAACATCCTTGCACAAGATTTGGAAGGATTTTCCAATACATTGAAGTTTATGACATAGCACTGACACACCTACTCCCCTACCCTTATCTTCAGCTCATGAATGTACCAGTGACTTAACCCTCTGATAAAAAGACTTAAAGAAACACCAATTGGAAATAAGTTTACGAAGTCCCTTTTCAAAGAAGCTATAACATAATATAAACCGGATGAACATGCTTCTATTCCATTTTATCTCCTATCCATTCCCCCACTTTTCAAAGTACAATCTCACTGTTAACCATGCATAAAAATGGCAAATCAATACTGTCACAGAATGCGCAACTACAAATTAAAACAACAAAGGGGAAAGGTCTTGTTTTTCACCTTTACTGTACTTCCAGCGTGTGCAAGCCACGGAAGAACAAGAGTTATAATTCAATTCCGTGGAATACTCCTACAATGAAGCAGAGTTAAGTGATTTCAACAAGATAGGAGTTGGTACACTCCATTCCGAACTATGCAACAACCTAGAAGCCGGTACAAGATACACTTTCCCTTGGAGAGTTATGAGAATTGGTAATTGTCCAGTGAAGCCAGGCTACATGCCCCTTATTTAGGACGTTGAGGCGTATTTGCATAAGGGAGCTGCTGTGTTCGTCAAATGGTTTTGTGAACTTCATTGTCCGTCCATTCCGACGTATATACCAACAAAAATCCTTGATGTGTTTGATTTGAAGATACTAATCAACCCAAATGATATCCCAAATTACACCGTCCCGCTGTAGAGTAGTATGATCATAATGGGAGCAAACAAGGCTGGAGTACATGTCATGGAGGTAATAGATAATCTGTATACAACAAATGTATTAGTTAAATCTTAGATCACTCGATTGGATTCCAATAGGTACTATCAGGCAATTGTTAGAGCTAAAAGGGCAGATAAGTTGCCACGTCAAAAACAATTTCCTAAGGGTTCAAAGGTTATTTTGTGGAACGGGAGGAATGTCCACCGACCATCATTTAAAGAGAATATTCAGATCATTCGCAAAGCATTTAATCCTATGTTAATTGTGGTCACGGAGGCTAGAGTGTCAACACCAATGTTGCACATAGTCAGAATAGATATGGGAAGTGGTTACAAGGTGGAAGAGGTTGGCCCAAACACTAGTTTGGGTGGGGTGATTTTGGCATGGGATTATTGTGTGGAGCCATTCTGCACCCACGGGCGATCAAGCTTTGATGAATCATATTTATATAGGGTTCTTAGGTACGTTTATGTTAGTTTTTATACCCTTTTCTTAGTCTTTTTGATCGATTTTAGGGTCGTATTTGCATAATTCATCATATATCTCTCTATTACGCTCTGTTTGTGTATTTCTTAATGTTTCAAGTGATTTTGTAGTCATTTGGACGCTTTCGAAGTGTTTGGAGATGATTCGAATGATATTTGAATGGAAATAGATTGATTGAGTTCATTGAACGAGGGATTTATACTCGCGGATGTTGTATCTAAGGATTTTATGCATGGTAATTGAACATAGCATCCACATGGATCAATATGCACTTTTCGGAATTGAATTTGAGTTAGGAACAAAGGAAAACGAAGGCTTGTAAAGTTTCAAAAAGGACCTTTGTGCATTGTTTCAGCCATATCTCGAGTTCTACAGATCGGATTGAGGTGATTCAAGTTGGGTTGTCAACTAGACTTGAAGATATTTCCAATGATAGGTTGAAATCCCTCATACAATTCTTATATTGTGAGTTACAGCTTTCCAAAATCGGTCCTGAAAATCTGCCAGCAAGCGCCCAGCCACCGGGCGATGGTTTAGCTGCACAAACGACCCTTCGAATCTGCCTAGCCCAATGGAAATCCATCGGTCGATGGTCTTCGTCGCATCCCTTGATCACTCGACTATCGGCCATCCATCGGGCGATGGGTCTGGTGTGCGGGAAACTTGTTTTCCGTCGATCGTAATTCTCGCGACCAATTAAAATACGACCTTTGTTACTTTTATTTCCTCATTTTATTTTATCTATTTTATTTTATTTAGGATTAGGTTTTAATATAAATACTTGAGAGGATTTTATTTTCCTCTTTATGCTTTATTTTTCTAGATTAAACGCTTCTTAGTTTTCTTTCTCTCCGTTGTTGAACCCTAGCTTTTCATTCTCCATTAATTCAATCATTGAGGTATTTTCATTCAATCTTTCGTTCTTTATTTATTTTATTGATTATGAATTCAAGTTTATTTATCTCTTTTGTTTTGTTTATTTCAATTATGAGTGAGCAGTCGTTTTTTAGGGTTAAGTGAGGGAAGCCATGTTTATACCATGATTATTTGTGCTTAATTATTTATAAATTTATGAATTAGGGTTTGAATAATTCCAATTGATTTGTGCTTTATTGTTTGATTCATGTAATTGGCCAATATCACGAGTTAAATTTTTAGCTAATAAAAATTAGAATTGAAAGATCATATTTTCAGAGGCTTAATTACAATTGGCGAATTTGATTATGTTAGCGACCGAAGTACATATGTTAATTCATAAGTGTGAATTCCTGAGCGTAGGATTAACAAGTGCTTTAATTATTCGACCTAGTTTGTTTATTGATGGATTGTTTGCATTTCTTGGGTTGGTATAAGCATGGTGGACCGAACGTTTGCCCTAGACTTTAATTTATCTGTGAATAACCTTATTTTCATTATTGTTAATCTTTAGTTAATTAATCATCAAATCACTCTTCGTTTATCGAAATAGTTTATAATAACTGGGAAAAAACTAATAGAACCTGTGTCTTTGTGGGATTCGACCCGTATTTACTAAGTCTCTTCTAACAACAGACATCGTGCACTTGCGGTATAAATTTTTATTCATCAAGTTTTTGGCGCCGTTGCCGAGGAGACGGCTAGATTCTATTAGTTTTAGTTTGATTGTTTGAACTGTTTCTATTGTCCCATTGGAACTTCTAGTTTCAATTGGGACATTCTCATTGCTTTATTTTCTTTCTGTTTATGCCCAGGTCAAAACGAACAGGTGGTTTGATCCCTACGGATCCGGACTTGGACAAGACCCTTAGGCAACTCAAAAAACAAGGGAAAGGGAAGCAGAAAAAGACCCACTCACAGAAGAGCTCTACAACACAGTCTGACACACGCAAAGAGATGACTGATAATAGGTCTCTTAATTCTTACGGAGTACCATCCCAAGAGGGCATTCCAACGGGTCTTAAAATGCAAGCAATCACTGCAGAGAACTTCGAAATCAAACCCGCATTTCTCAGTATGGTCCAACAAAATCAATTTAGTGGCCATCCTACTGACGAGCTAATTAATCACTTGCAGCGATTTCAATAATTATGCTCCACTGTTCATCACAAAGGAGTCACTCAAGATCAATTGAAGGTGATGTTGTTCGGATTTTTCCTTCGCGATAGAGCTCAAAAGTGGTTGAACACTGTTGAGGAGACGGAGTGGAGCAAGATTTCTCAAGCATTCCTCAAAGAATATTTTCCCCCTGAAAAAACTGAAAAGATTCGATATCAAATATCAACATTTTCTCAAGAATCGGGGGAATCTCTTAGGGAAGCATGGGATATATTCTTATATCTTCAACGATCATGCCCGAATCACAATTTTGAGAAGTGGAATATTGTTTGTATTTTCTATAACGGACTAGAACCCGAGACTAAATGTATTGTTGATTCTGCCACAGGTGGGGTTTTCCTTGACAAGAAAATTGAGGAAGGGTATGATTTTCTTGCAAATCTTGCATCCAACCACTTCTCATCTCCAAGAACACGACCAAAAAAGGGAAGATGGAAGTTGAAGCATATTCACTCATGACATCTCAAATGGCTCAATTAACTGCAAAGATTAAAGCATTGCAGGCCTCTCAAGAATCTTCTCTTTTATCTGTTAATGATATGTCTTCTCAACCTTCGCAAACTAATTTTTTTTGTGAATTGTGTGGTATATAGGGTCATTTTGGATATCCACGTGCTCATAATTCTCAAGACACCAATAAGATGGAGCAGGTGAATGCCTTTCAACAAAGGCAACCAAATGATCCATATTCTAACACATTTAATCCAATTTGGAGGAATCATCCCTACGTTTCATACAAAAGCGATAATGTTGAAAATCCTCAACCTCTGCAACAATGGACACAACCTCAGCAATAGTGGTCACAGTTTCAGAACCCTCAACCTCAGCAATATGTTGCAACGCCTCCACAACATCAACAAGGGGCCTCTCATCATCCTCCCCCGAGTTTCAATAGGCCACCTCAACAACAACAACCTTCTCATGGCACTCAAGAGCCTACTATGTCTGACCTTATGAGAATGATGACAACCATGAAGCAAAGCACTGAAGATAGCATCAAGGAGTTGAAAAACACGACAAAGCATTTGGAGAACCAACTTGCACAAGTCGCAGGTACCAATATCCAAAGGCAACCTGGCCACTTACCGGGACAACCTTGTCCCTAAGGAGACCGCCAATGCTATCACTACTAGTAGTGGTGTTAGTTATTAAGGGCCACAAATGCCTACTGATGATGCAAATCTTGAGAAGGAGAATAGTGAGGTCGTAGAGAAGGCCTTGGATGATGTTCCCACTTCAAAAGATGGGAAAGCTAAAGCAAATTATGCTGAGAAAGAGAAAAAGAAAGGTTTCGAGCCTCCACCTGCCGAGCCAAAGCTACCATTCCCACATTGGATGCAAAAGAACAAGCTAGATCAACAATTTGGTAAGTTCTTAACTATGGTCAAGAACCTTGAGGTAACTGTTCCTTTTACTGATTTGGTCTCTCAAGTTCCAATGTATGCAAAGTTTTTAAAGGAAGTGATTACTAAGAAGAAAGACATTGGTGGTGTAGAAACAGTCGCTCTAACTGCAGAGTGTAGTACTATATTGCAAAATAAATCCCCACCTAAGCTTAAGGACCCTGGTAGTTTTTCCATCCCATGTCATGTAGGTGCATTATTCATTGATAAAGCTTTATGTGACTTAGGTGCTAGTGTGTCTGTTATGCCTCATTCTGTTTGTAACAGGTTGAATATGAGAGCTTTAAAATGCACACAGATCACTTTGCAAATGGCGGATCGTTCTATAAAATACCCTTTAGTTATTTTGGAGGATGTCCCCGTTCGGGTTGGGAAATTTTTCATTCCTGATGACTTTGTAGTTTTGGATATGGAGGTGGATAGTAACATCCCGATCATTTTAGGTAGACCTTTCTTGTGTACTGTAGGTGTTGTTATTTTAGTCAAGTTTGGATCCTTTACTTTGTCTGTTGGTGATGATACAGTGACTTTTAATCTAATCAATGCGATGAAGTCGCCTATGCTTAAGAATACTTGTTGCAGGATTGATTTGCTTGATGAGATTGTGAGAGATGATATGCCTCGTGAGTTAGCTAATGATCCATTAGAAGCTATTCTCGCACTGGAGGTCTCTAAAGGAGAAGGAGATGCAGCGATTGATTCCTTGATTCGTGACTTGGATGCCCCTAACACTGAGGGGTTTGAGGTAATGAAAACTATTTGTTCTACTTCTGAGTCACAAGTAAAAAAGGTAGAGTTAAAACCTTTGCCTTCTCATCTTAAATATGCATTTCTTGATGATAATGAGGAATGCCCTGTAATTGTTAGTGCTAAACTCGATGATAGCCAAGTTTCTAAGCTTTTGACTGTGCTTCGCATGCATAAAAAGGCAATCGGGTATAGCATTGACGATCTTACACTGATAAGTCTTAATTTTTGTATGCATAGAATCAATTTGGAAGAGAATCATCGCCCTTGAATCTAACCACAACGTCGATTGAATCCTAATATGTAAGAGGTGGTGAAGAAAGAGGTAATGAAACTTCTTGATGCGGGCATCATCTACCCCATCTCAGATTCTAAGTGGGTGAGCCCGGTATAAGTCGTTCCTCAGAAAGGGGGACAACTGTTGTTAAAAATGATAAGAATGAACTAATTCCTACTCGTGTTGTCACAAGTTGGCGTATGTGTATCGATTATCGCAGGTTGAATACAACCAATTTGAAAGATCACTTCCCCTTACCTTTTATAGATCAAATGCTTGAAAGATTAGAAAAACATAGTTTTTTCTGTTATTTGGATGGATATTCAGGTTTCTTTCAGATTCCCATTCATCTGGAAGATCAAGAGAAGACAACGTTCACATGCCCCTATGGTACATTTTCTTATCGCATAATGCCATTTGGGTTGTGTAACGCTCCTACGACGTTTCAAAGGTGTATGATGGCCATTTTCTCTGATTTCATTGAGAACATCATGGAGGTATTTATGGATGATTTTAGTGTTTATGGTTTTGATTTTGATATGTTCTTGCATAATCTTTCTAAGGTGCTTAAACGTTGTACTGACGTCAATTTGGTCTTGAAATGGGAAAAGTGCCACTTCATTGTCAATGAAGGAGTGGCACTTGGTCATCTTATTTCTGATCGTGGCATCGAAGTTGACAAAGAAAAAATTGAGGTGATTGAGAAACTTCTCCCTCCCGTGAATGTCAAGGGAGTGAGAAGTTTTCTTGGTCATGTAGGGTTTTATCGCCGATTTATAAAATATTTTTCGAAAATAGCGAAACCCCTCACTCAACTATTTCTTAAGGATGCCACATTTGAGTTTACTGATGCTTGTATGAAGTCTTTTAACAGGATTAAGGAGGCATTGATAACTGCTCCTATCATACAACCTCCGGATTGGGATTTGCCATTCGAGATCATGTGTGATGCGAGTGACTATGTTGTGGGAGTTGTGCTTGGACAACAAAAGAACAAGGTTTTGCATGCCATTAACTATGCTAGTAAAACCTTGGATGAGGCTCAGATGAATTATGCCACCACTGAGAAAGAGCTCCTAGCTATTGTGTATGCTCTTGAAAAGTTTCGAACTTACCTTACTGGTTCGAAAGTAATTGTCCACACTGACCATGCCGTTGAAGTATCTCCTAGCAAAGAAAGAGGCTAAACCGAGGCTCATTCGATGAATTTTTCTCCTTCAAGAGTTCGATTTAGAGATTTGAGATAAAAAGGGTGCCAAGAACGTTGTTGCAGATCACCTCTCTCGACTAAAATTTCAGTCTACTTTAGATAGCCGTATAAATGACTCTTTCCCCGATGATCATTTATTCTCTACTTCTTCTATATCTCCATGGTATGCTGACTATGCTAATTTTTGTGTAGGTGGTTCACATCCTCTGGATCTGACTTACCAACAACGCAAGAAGTTCTACCATGATGCCAAGCGGTACTTTTGGGATGACCCTCATTTGTATCAAAAGTGCGCTGATGGAATGTTTCGGAGATGTGTAGCGGATTGGGATAGTCATGGTATCCTTCATCATTGCCATAATCTACCTTCTAGTGGACATCTTGGTTCTACTATAACTGCCTACCGAGTGCTTCAATGTGGTTTCTATTAGCCCTCATTATTCAAGGATGATCGTTCTTTTTGCAATGCATGTGATGAGTGTCAAAGAATGGGAAATATATCAAAGAGGCAAGAGATGCCACAAAATGGGATTCTTGAGGTCGAGCCTTTCGATGTCTGGGGCATTGATTTTATGGGACCATTTCCCTCTTCTTGTGGGAATCGGTACATTTTGGTTGCCGTCTGTCTCCAAGTGGGTCGAAGCTGTTGCGTCCCCTACTAATGATTCGAAAGTCGTTATGAAGCTATTCAAAAAGATCATCTTCCCGCGCTTCAGAGTCCCAAGAGTTGTCATTAGTGACGGTGGTTCTCATTTCCATCAACGAACTTTCAAGTCTCTTCTTAAGAAACATGGAGTTACTCACAAGGTTGGTTTGGCCTATCATCCTCAAACGAGCGGCCAAGTTGAGGTATCTAATCGACAAATCAAGAGAATCCTTAAAAAGGTAGTCAACAAATCCCGCAAAGATTGGTCATTGAAGTTGGATGATACATTCACTACTATAAAAATGGTCAAAGGAACCTATAATAAAAGACCCGTTAGTTAATTCAACGACTCTCTTTAATATAACAAATCTGATATTAGAGATAACGGGTCTCTTATATATCAAAGAGCCCACCAAAACATGGAGGGAAAAAAAATAAGAGACCCGTAATTGACTTAACAGGTCTCTTATATGTGTAGGGCCCCACCACTTAAAGGGTTGACAGCAAAACCCTATTTCTTTCTCTTCATATTCCCAATTTCCCATCACCTATTCACGCCGCTAACTCATCACCTTTTCTCATTCATTCTGATCTCCTCTCATTTTATTTTTCTCTTGGGGCAAAAAATGCTCCATTCTCTTTCCTCCAATCAACGATGTCAACGAAGGCGAAGAACCTTCTTCCGACACTGAAGACAGAGAAAGAGAAGGTCCTAGTTGGAGTTGGATCGCTTCTCGTGTTCTCAAGACTTGCATTTCGTATTCTAGTGGTGTTACTGCCGCTATTCTTCTCTCTGAACTTTCTCAGGTCAACATTTTTTTTTACCTCATTTTCTTCTAATCTGTTGAATTTCAACTTATTATAGTTTAGGTTTGATGAATTTGTTAAGGTTTTGCCTCTTCGTGCTTAACGCCGGTAGTATCACTTTCTTTCTCTTCCTTCTCCTTTTATTTCATCATCATCAACAAATTAAAGATCAAGTTTGAGGCTTTAAAGTTCAATTTTAACCATGAAAACTATAGATTTAAAGTTTTCATGTTTAAATTTGGCCAAAAATTTATCATTAATTTGTAGAAAAAGGTAACTTTTAATATTTTGCAGATTTTTTAGTGGGTAAAAACAAGTTTTTTCATGGTGGTAGTTTTGATTTTGGATTTTTTCATGGGTGAGTATGGTTTTATAGGGGTTGTTGGGGTGTAGCTTTAGACTGTTTTTGGGGGTTAAGTAGCTGTGGCGGCTAGGGTATTTAGGAGGGTTGGGCCGTTAAGGGTGGTTTATATGGGTGTGGAGGTAGTCTAGCGGTGTTGAGTTGTTAGTTGGTGATGTGATCTTCTTTTTTATTTTTATTTTTTTTTAAATGTTAAATTAGATTATTGTTCTTCATTTTATTGAATCTTAACTTGTTTATTGGCTTAGTAAGATATATAACTACATAACATTTTGCTTAATTGTTCCAATCCTAATATTGTTATATTATTGGGCATAAGTATTCCTAATATTACCTGATATTGTTATATTATTGGGCATAAGTATTCCTAATATTATTTATATATATCATTGGACAGGTTATGCTATTGATAATCATGGAAGGAATATGAAGTACAAGATACACTATTAACGTATGATCGTATGGAGTATATACTTATAAATGATTCAATAAGCTACCACTTGTAAATTCTAGAAATTATTTTGTAAATTTCAATAATTAATATATATGTTGGTTTGTTTAATTATATATTCAAAGTTTTCATTTTCAGTATTCCGCCAATTCAATAAAGCACTGAAATTCAAATTTCGAAACACTACGTATAATAAAAAAAATGACGAGAATTTTTTTTTTTAAAAAAAAAAAGAAGAAAGAGACCCGTTATGTAGCATATGGGGTCTGTTTGATACCTTACCGAAAAGATCTATTATGTTAAATAACGAGTCTCTTATCCTTCTAAATAAATTTTCAAAGTACTAGTCTGACAAACCTGACTTCTTAATTAACGGGTCTGTTATGTTTTTTAAACAGACCCCTCTAAAGAGGCTGTTTGTTTATCTGACATACCCCTTAACTAGAGACTCGTTGTTTGGCGGTTTGTAAAGCATTTTTCAACGACTCTCTTTGCTACTTTTTGTAGTAGTGATTATGGGCATTACGAACGACTTACAAGACTCCGTTAGGGACAACTCCGTATCGGTTGGTGTATGGCAAAGCTTGTCATTTACCGGTCAAAATGGAATACCTTTCACAATGGGCCGTTAAGGAGATTAATTTGGATCTAGAGAAGGCCAGTGAAGCAAGACTTCTTCAATTGAACGAGCTAGATGAGATTCGGCTCGATGCTTACGAAAATCATAGGCTCTACAAGGAGAAAACGAAGAAGTTTCACGAGAAGATGATCCAAAAACGAGAGTTCAATAATGGTGACAAGGTGTTGCTTTATAACAAAAGACTTTGACTTTTTCCAGGAAAGATTAAGTCTAGATGGTCCGGCCTTTCACAGTCACTGATGTCAAAGCATATGGAGCCATAGAGGTTGCTAGCAAAAAGGCACGAAATTCAAGGTAAATGGACAACGTTTAAAGCTATATACCGAGGGTGCTTTCATCGGCAAATTGGAGACGATTTATCTCTCCGATACAACAATTGATGCTTGATACTAAGGTAAGAAGTCGAGCTCACGACTCTAAATGAGCGCCTATCGGGAGGCAACCTGATTTCCTAATTCTTCTTTATTTTGATTTTTTTTTTGTTTTGTTTTTCCTTTTCTTTTTAGTTTCTCTTCCTTTTTTGTTTTTAACTTTTCTTTATTTATTTTCTCCATTTTTATTTTTTCTATTCATTTATTTATTTATTTATTTATGCTTTTCTTCTAGTTTTATTTTTATTTATTTATTTTTTTTAGTGTTATTTTCGTTTCCCTTTTTTTGTTTTGTTTTTGTTTTGCTTCACTAACTCTATTAACGTTGTTTATTTTTAGTTTTAGTGAAGGTTTAAATTTTTTTTTATATTCATTGAAAAAAAAGAGCCAGCAGCAGGCACCAGCCCGCACAAGCCAGCGGCAGGCCAGCGCCCCTGGGCGGAGCTCCCACCAACAGCCCAACAATCTGCCTGGGCCGCTGGAATTCTAGCGCCCGCTGGTCTGGCGCCCAGACAGCTACACGCATCCCCCAAAAAAACAAAAAAAACCGAAAAAAAACAAAAAAAAAACAAAAAAAAAACAAAAAAAAAGTTCCCAACCTGCACGAATCCCAAGAAACCCCACCCCCTTCTCTCTCCACCTCTCCGCCACCCCACAGCCGCACACCGTCGGCGCCCCACCGGCGCTGCTCCGAGACACCAGTCAGCCACCCTCCATGAAAAAAAAGAAGAACCCTAATTTTTCTCAAGGTTAGGGATTTTGATTTTCTTTTTCAATTGGGAGAATTGGTTAAAATTGCAACTTAATTGGTATTTGATTTGAGGTAACTAACAACAATATTGTTTTAATTGCAAAAAGCATAGGTATTATTTTCAATTTTTCATCCAACTTCTCTTCTTGAATTGTTTACATTCATATAAAAATTGAAAATTTTACCTCTTCTATATTAATATTGTCTTGTTGATTGAGTTTGTGGTGATTAATTTTGATTGAACATTGATATTTGGTTGGTGGTTGATTGGAATTTATTCTACTTTGGATTACTAGTGTTGGTTGGAGTATTTTATGCTTATTGCTATTTGATTGTGACATTGCATCATGAGAACCACAAAAACCACTAGTTCTCACCCAAAGTCCACTCATTCTCCACTTGCACCACTAAGATCCACTTCCACAAAGAGAAACCCACCTCGAAAAGCAAGAGCCTCACCTTCAAAGAAGCATCCCAAACTACCACATAAATCCCCTCCAAACACTTCTCATACCTACCCACATTCCACCTCTCACCCTTCCTCAAGTTTGAGCAAAGAAGGCCTTAGTTTTTCACTTCAAGACCGAAAAATCAAACCAACACTTCGTTATTCACAAGACGATGGTAAGAAGCTTGGGGTTGATGATTGTTTGCAAGAAATAGGTCGAAGGTGTGGTTGGTCAAAAGTTCTTAATTTGAAGGAAGAGGTTTATCCGGATTTGGTTATTGAATTTCTTACTTCTTTAGTAGTGTCTAATAATGGTGACATATCTTTTTCTCTTGATGGAGTGGCACATTCAATGGCACCAAAGGAGGTTAATGAAATTTTTTAGTTGCCTTGTGATGGAACTATTGGCCCATCAGAGTTTGGTTCGTTTTGGGGTGACAAAAATGGATTACACTTTCACCAAAAAAATGTTTTAGAGAGAACTCACAGGTCGAGATGATTGGAAAGTTGGTCTTACTAAGTCTTTTTCAATTGTGAACCCTGTGCCTCGTATTCTACATCGCTTGCTTCTACAAGTGTTCTTTCCAAAGACAGAGATGGGACAAATTTCTACAAGTGATTTCAAGATGCTTTGTTGGTTCTTACATGGTGATCGAGATAGGATGGGTCAATTGGATTTCGGAAAATTCCTCATTACCGCATTTCTTGTGGAGAGAAACAAGCCAAAATGGCCTATCACTATGGGAAGCTTTGTAACCATCTTTGCTACGCATCTGGGGATCGATTTGTCTTACTTTAAGAAGTTGAACTCATATGAACTCCTTGATAATGTGAGCATGGAACGATATGGATGGTTGTTGTTACCAAAGATTGGTTTGTTTGTATGGCAGGTTAAGGGAGGGGAGAAGGACTCACATCCGACTCCTTATAATGTTTTGCCCACTCTTGCGACTCGAATGGAAACTCTAGATGCCCTTTTGTTTCCGCCTACCCCCAACATATCATCCAAATAGGTGTGCATTCTACAAAGCAAGGATCTTCTTCGGCCCCTCCGCCTTTGGTTGGTGACAATTCACAGGTATCTCATACTCCTTCTCATGGGACTATTCCATCCCACCCTTTTCGTCATAGTGTCAATTTTGAGGGGTCTAGCAGCGATCCAATCACTATAGAGATGTTCAAGCAGTTCATGGCTAACATTGGTACGTTTTCTCAGGAGGTTATTGATCATTTCGGCAATTTGGAGCAACAGTTTCATGCCTTGAATTCCGAGGTTGTTTCTCTACGTCAGCAGATAGTAGCTTTTGGCACCACCGCTACATCTAATGACACTACAGTCAACACCTCTTCTGTCAACGAGGTTCCTGATGAGTGAGCTTTTCTTTCTCGTCTCTCTCTCTTGTATTTTATTTTGCCACAGTGAGAACACTGTGTTTCATTCTAGATTGGGGGATGTATATCTATCTTTTAATGCTTTCATAGTGTAGCTTTATTGCTTTCTGTAAGTGTTGCATGGTTTGTACCGCCTATTAGGGATGGGAGTTTACGTGTAACAAAAAAAATGTATTGCTTTCTTAGTTTAGTTTTGTTTTCGAATAATGCATTCTTGTGCCTATTTTCCATTTGTTTGACTTTGAACCGTGTGCGGATTAGATTAGACTCTCCTGAGCTTCTTCTCATCATAGTTATGATTTTGAAATTCGGTTGGTGTGCTTTATACGTTGATAACTGCGTAGCAATGTAGCCGGCGACTAATTGGTTTGTGGAAAGTTGTTTTGCTCTTTTTGAGTCTAGCTAGTCGATATTTTTGTAGACCCCAAGCCGTGTGAGTTTTCGAAACCTGATTGATTGACTGTCACATTTATAACAGTCTAATATTTTGTATGTGTGATAGTTCCTGGTGCAACTCTGATCTTGATTTTGCCTTGAGACTCGTAGTAATTTGGTTGTGATGAGTGCATGATTCAAATGATAAAGGTCTTTCTTTTTCTCAATTTGAGCCTCTAGAAGTTATTTTTGTACATTTGCTTCTTAATTGTTACCCATGTTGAGCTTTACCCTTCATTGAATTAGCCATATTACAAGCCTTCGGCCTCAATTGGTTACTATTCCCGAGCCTAGCTTGGGGGAGTGGTCTATCTTGTGATTTGTGAATTTTCATTTGGCTATATATTTGCTTCGTGGTTCAATAAAGGAGATTTTGAATGGAAGTTCAAGGTTTTTCAAAAAAAAAATGAAAAAAAAAGAAATAAGAAAAAAAAAGATTAAATAAATAAAATAAGGGTTGAAGAAGGAAAGAAGAGAAAATCAAATTACTTTGGTGTATAGTGATTTTTTTCTTGGTTTTTAGGGTGTATGGAGAGGCTAGATGCTAAACGAGGTTATCTTCGACATGCATTTGGTTGTGTTGTTATTATAAACTATTATTACCACTCTCCCAGCTAGTTCAATTCTCACATCTCCAAAAATGTTAATCCTACCTCTCACCCTAGCCCCATTACAACCCTCATAAAGACCTTTTGATCTTCGTGCATAAGTTATGATTAACTGAACTGAGTTTTGAGTCAAAGTTAAAGAGTAATTGTTGCATTCCGAGTCGACATGGTATAGGTTGAGTGTCTGTTATAACCCTAAGCTGGTAGGGCACCTCTTGTGCTCGAATTCAGCATATCTACAAGAAATCGGCGGAGACTAGATTGGAAAGAGAATGTTTGTGGCCTCTAGATCGGAGAGTTAATTGCAGGACTATGAGTGCTACGTAGTTCTATATGTATCCGAGCCAGATTTCAGTTTCGCTAACTTTGGTTTGATAGTTTGCTCGAGATTCAAGTCGGTCTTATTCTGGTTCCCTGGAAGTCTTATTTTTCTTGTTTCTCCGTCTTGAGTCAGGTTTTTCTTAGGGACAAGC